ACAAGAATATTTGAACTGTATGCAAAGAAATGCTTGGCGCAAAAGCCGTGGAAAGTATTAACCGCGGGATCCACTTTTGAGTTCTGTCTTTTAGCGCTCTCAAACTTTTCGGGGCATGGTAGGTAAAAAATAGACTGAGACAGGGGAGGGCACGCGAGGGATGTCCCCGCAATGTACTGGATAGAGCAGTGTCCTCAGCGCACAACGTTCCACCCAAAACTACCATGAGTTCCAGAGAGAGCATCTCTTATCATCGAGTCCGCTTGCTAATCAAATCAGCCGCATTCCTATGCTGCCGCTTGTTGAAGCCACAGTCCGCGGTGAAAGTATAGCGGGGTTACCCATTCGGCCTCCCTCAAGGGTGCTCCCATATTTTCCACGGTAAAGTAAAATGCGCAAAGCAGAACGCGTTGACCCGACCACGCTCGCGAAGGTGAACATGGACGGCACTATTGACAAAATATCCGAGGTCTACTTTGAACCATAAATTCTTATGCGTATTGAATGATTGCGAGTTGTGTACAAAATGGCCCGTAGGAGCCATTCGTGGCTGTAATTAAAGCATTTTTTTCTCGGGATTGATATATAAATACCAGTCGGATCACCCGGCTGCCGCCGGGTGCTCCTCCTTCTGTTTCACGGCCCGGCTTCGCCGGGCCGACCTGGCTTCGCCAGGCACTCTTCCCTTGGGCGGGGTAGGATGCGCTAAATGTGCAAAATGATGACAGCAATTTTTATTGAAATGCAGGAAAATGAGTTGAAAATAGCTCAACATCAGTCATTATCTACCAACATCTGGTCCCCCTTGCTTACTACAGACTTTCAACGGTGAGAAGGCTGCACCATATCATTAAGGACCGCAGTTACGACAACAGAATGGGTAAAGTTGAATTAGTCCGGATGAGCCTTTAAAACCGGAAAAGGCATAACTGCAGAGTAATGGGTGGCACTGGAAAGGAGGTCTATTGCTTGTACATATAAGGTCTGTGTAGCACGAACACGGAGAGCTCGAATGACCACCGATGGGACGCTCCACTCCCAATTGTTGGGTCCCCTCCTTATTTTGTTTCAATTACGACCGCCCACCTCCTCACATAGCACACATCACATAGCATGAAGCTTTCGAAAATTATATATGTATTAGGTTGTCCGGAAAGTTCTCAGCGTTTTGTGCACCTAATCTTTTGTACATTCACTGCTGATTAAAAACTCATTCTGCCTTGCTTCTCAGTAGCACATCCTGTAGAGAATTTCTTGCGCTATCTGATGGTATAATTGCCGTTTCACCATTGCTTGATAAACCCTCTTTTTTCAAGATTTTTTCAAGCATGTGAAAAGAGCACTTCGGACGATTTTTTTCTTCGGCTATAAATTGGGGCAATCCGCAATCGAAACAGCTCAACAAATTAACCAGGTGTGGGGGCCCAATAGTGCTAGAGAAAGCACTGTGCCGGCAAATGGCTCAACAAATGTCGTTCTGGAAATTTCAGCCTTGAGGGAACCTCATAGCGATCGACCTAAAGCAATTCTGACGAGGATTTTGAGGGGATTTCGGAGGCTGATCTATCCCAAACAGTTCGAGAGATAGCAGAAGAGCTAGGCCTTGGCAAATCCACTGTTGCAGATGGTCTGGAACGCATTGGGAAGGTGAAAAAACTCGACAATTGGGTGCCCCACAATCGGAGTGACCAGGAATCGGCACGTCTCGAGGTTCCTTCTTCACTGCTTTTGCGCAAAAGAATTGACCCGTTTTTGAACGGATTTGTCACCTGTGATGAAAAATGGATCATGTATGATAACAGGAGACGTTCCGGACAGTGGTTGGATTTGGAGGAACCACCGAGGTAATTTTCAAAGCCGAACCCTCGCGAAAAAAAAATTCTGGTCAGGTTTGGTGGTCATCGGCTGTTGTAATCCACTATAACTTTTCATCACCAGGCCAAACCATCACAGCAGAACCCTACTGTGAACAAACCGACCAAATGTACCGAAAATATTGTCAGCTGCAGCCAACACTTATCAAAAGAAAGGGTCCGATTCTTTTGCATGACAACGCCCGCCCACACGTTTCACAATCACTATCCATAAATTGAACGAATTGGGAGTTGAAGTTCTACCTCACCCACCATATTCTCTAGACCTTTCACCAACCGACTGTCACCTTTTCAGACATTTTCAGAACTTTCCTGCTGAGAAATACTTCATCAAACAGGACCAGGCAAAAAAGACCTTCGCAGATTTCGTGGATTCTCGACCACCCAGTTTTTTCTTTGATGGGATTTCTCGACTGCTGCCACATTGGCAAAAGTGTGCTGATTCGAATGGTGCTTATTTGGATTAAATCCGATGAGTGTTAAGAAAGTTATGATCGTTTAAAGTTAAACACCCAAAACGCTAAGAACTTTCCGGACAACCTAATATATATAATTTTTTTTGTTTGGCGAATTTCTCGATCTTTTTACCGGTTCCCCCAGTATATATATATATATATATATATATATATATATATATATATATATATATATATATATATATATATATATATATATATATATATATATATATATATATATATATATATATATATATATATATATATATATATATATATATATATATATATATATATATATATACCTGCCCCACCCCGCCTTCGTCACCATGCATGCATCTAAAAGCAAACACTTCATTGGACACCTTGATTCTGTTGCCATCAAAGGAAAGGGTTCACACACTGAGCCTCTAATACTCGGCATTAAAGCGGTAAGAAGTGATAAAAATGTAGCGCAGATGGTATCTTATCTGTTTTTATCGATTGATAAGATTACCTGTCACCCGTCATCAATGTCCTCATCACTAATCTCTATGATTTGGTAGCGGTGAACTACCTTGAACAGCGACGACGTTGCCAACATCGATTCCACTCACCCACGTTTCATGTCCTCATGTGACCCCTTATCGAAATCTTATCAGCAACTTACAGTTCTTGTCACCCACCAGTAATGCTTCTTGGCTCATACTGTTTATCATATCTTGGAATCAAGAGCTAGCTGATGCTGTCACCCGCGTTATGAATATGGTGACCTCCGCCTTCTAACGCCTCTTATCGGATCTTATCAACTGATATCACTTCCTGTCACCCACCAATAGTGTTCCCGTCACACCCCCTACATCACTCCTTGGAACCAATGTCTCACTGCTACTGGGACCGGCGCTATGAAATTCGTGACAAACAGGCAGACGCACACACATACGCACGCACGGACATAGCGGATTATATAAAGTAGGATACTATTAATTGCTGATTCGGGAATGTTTCCATGGCATGAAAAGCAAATCCAGCCAGTGAACCACGCAAATATAGCGACGACCATCCTCTGACTAATGAGCTTCCTATCCTCAGCTTGGTGCACTTTGGGTGGTTGAGGCAGGGGGGGGGGGGAATTCGGTGAAGGGGCCATTTGGCACTCTCCCATCGACGTGTTGCCTTCAGCGCAGAGATCTGTGAATCTCGTGAAGCATGAACTGACATCAGCTCAAAGCTTTTCGGGATTGCTGCCAATGCTGTGACAAGGGAATACTTGCTTACTCTGGTCTTAGTAAAGCAATGTACACCACTATAAGAAGTAGCAAAACTGCAAAATGCCCTCCCCCCTGGAGCCTCTCAGATTTATCTCTTGCACTAATCACGTACCATCACGTACAGCCAGCTGGTAGGTCCAACTTGTCCATCTTTGGCTTTGTTCGCGGCATAATAGCACCACGGCTACGTCTGTTTTTTTTCCGGCTTTGTTCACACCCCCAGTACGCTTTCAGCTTGAACCAGCCATTCTTTGTCATCCTAGAAAAAGTTCGAATTGCATAATAGCTCAAAATTTTGTTAACTCGGACTCGATTTCTACACGCACTGTGCTAGGAATAATGGCGCAGTCCAGGCTTTTGGTATAGGCGAACACAACCAGCCGCATCTTGCTCATAAGTGTGCCCCAACCTGTAAGCTGGTAAAGCGGGAGGGCTAATGAGGAGGGCATAATGTGTTGGGCTAAACCCCCCCCCCGTCTAAACGAACAGCGAGTGGACTGGACTCCTCAGCCTCAGATTAAAGCCTTCTAACAGACGGTCGTGACCAATTATCCTTACATTCTATAAACCACTAACTCTGTGTGTCGGTTTGTCGGTATGTATGTATGTATGTCTGTCCGTCCGCAAAATGCTTCACGGGTTCAAACACGTCAGTGTAGGAGAGTATACGACCGCTAGCCGGTGGCGAAACCAGTTGGTGCAGATGTATCAATCCAATGTTTTGTGATTGTGATAACACCCTGCACTATATAAGAGAACCATGTAGTGCACTCCAAATCATTGCACGAGCTGCTCGCGTGGCAGGTGGACGTGAGCACGTGCAGCGGCAGGGATGGGGAGTGGGTGGGCAAGTGGTGGTGGGTGGGATTAGTGAGGGAGAGTACGGGAGGGGAAGCGTATAGTGCGTTTAGTATAAACTCATCACCAATGCAGAAAAGCGCCAATGAAAGCGATAAGATGAATAGAGGGAGGATCAACCGCTAGCAGAGTCGCGAATAAAATCCATGTTTTGGTATCACTTTGGGGCAAGTGTGATTGTTTACAACCTCACTATGTAAAAGAATCATGCACTATAAGTGAGCTACTCGCATGAACATATTGATCAAGATTGTTCACTATCTGTATAAAAGAAAAGCCGGTGAGGGGATAGATAAGCGCGGCGGAGGCGGGCCCGCTCAGCAAATCCATTCTTTATCTCAGAAGAAGACGTGCAGGCATCAGCCGGCAAAGCCGGCTGGTATATTAAAAACTATAAATAAGATGCCAACCTAGTACCAGGTTGGTATGGTACATCCTTCCTTTTGACTACGATACCCTCTTCTCCAGATCCCAACGCTTGCGAGAACAACGTTTCCAGCTCCTCTCTGAAGATCATCATTCTTTTTTACAGGGACGAAATCCTTTTCTGAAAAAAACTTTCACGAAGCGTCGTTAAGAAGTAGCACAACACCCAAAAACAACAAAAAAATGTTCCTCGTTCCAACCAATACGATGTTCTCAAGCAGAAAGCCTCTGGAAGCTATCGCCTGCCCTGAAGTGGGGCAGTAAGTAAGCTAATAGACATTAAATCCAACGGGTATGGTCTTGCTACTTTGCGAGTGATGGTCCTGTCAGGAGCTGGACCACGTCGTGTTACATACTTTAAACTGCCGCAACCAGAGCATTTGCGTAATTTCCATACGCAGGGCCATTCAAGGTCCACCATCGTACTATAACCCACGTGCGGATACGCTCCGTTCATGCGTTATATGAGCTTAAGGGCGACCGTTCCCAAATTCTAAAACAACCAATGGCGCTTGTTCATTTTTAGTCTAGGTGTATCAATTGGTCCGCAAACAGTAACGAGTGTTGGGCCCCAATATGACGCCGCACCACTGTTGTCCCTTGCGCTTAGAGATTTAGAACGGCAAACGTCAGAGTCCGCCAAAAAGAATCATCCAGCAGGGAGACTTCCAATAGGCGTACCAGGCCTTGGACTGCAGAGAAAGGGTGCAGAGGGCCCAAAGATCGTCCACGCAGGGGAAGAGGAACTCCTTAGGGCGTACAGCCTTGATGCCAGGAATGGTTGGCAGAGGCGTGTTTGAGGCCAAACCTTACCTTCTCTGTAGTCAACCGCCCCCCCCCCCCAACTATGTTATCGGTACGCCGTTTTAGCGACCGCTCACGAGGAGCGTACTAAGCTCAAACACTGGGACGCCAAGAGGCATGGAAAACGCCTTTATGAATCCTTCCACGAATTATTGTGAATTAAAGAGCTATTTCGAGAGTAAGAAGTTAAAAGATGATAGTAAGCCTGGAAACGTACTTTGACATGTGAGAGATGTGATTTCCAGTGGCAGTTTCACAGCAACTTCATTTGGAGTATAAGCTTCATACATTTTTGATAGAATTGAGACCTGAAATCGAAATGGCTACAATCAAAACATTGAGGTAGATTCGTTTTAGCAAACAGATACAGCAATATAAAAGAAAAACATTAAAGTCAATCAGTAAAAACACGCAGAACAACACGTGATATGGCGCGCCCCATGGAGAAATTCTGCACGAAACCAAAGCTCTCTGTTTTAAAGACCATTGTTCAAAGTTTTCTTATCACTTGTACTTATTGGGTTTCCGTAAGTATTCTATTTCTTGAAAAAATAGTGACCAAAGCGTTCGTTTAAAGAAAAGACAATGAGCTTATGTTAAGGTGAGCATGCAGAGTTTGGGGGGTGCATTGGCTCGGTTTGCACTTCGCCCTTCAATGGCACATCGATCATTAGTGCTCAACAAAATGGTACAACCACAACGTTTCTGCTCAACAAACGTCATCTTCAACGTCGAAACTGTCGAGGACTTCACTGAAAAGGTTTCTTTGTCTCGTTGCATATTGATTAATTGATTGATTGCAAGTTTTGTCATATCCATTCAAGGCATGAAACGGCCTATAACGAAACATGAGTTCCTGAGAGTTTTGCGTACTTTACTTCTCGGTCCATGACATCTTTTTCCTTGGCCCTGTGAAGGAATCCATATCTACCTATAATACGCTCGTCTACTTTGATTAATTGAGTGGTCTGTCGTTTTGTTCGGTGATTAGGGAGGAGCCTGTGAGATTAATGAAGTCCTTGGGAAACAGCGGGCTTTTTACCGTCCAACTGGATTGCTTTCAGACAATGCCTCTTGAGAGTGAAGTTCAGAAACTTACGTGACCACTTGGTCGAAGGGTTTTCAGCGCTTATTAGGTGATGTACGTTCTCCTTCGCTGCCCATTATGGGGCGTGCCAGTGAAGAAGACTCGGTTTGGCACCCAGCTAGCTCGTTCTACACCAGTTGTTAAAGCAGATAAGCAACAACAATTGGTAGAAAACGACTGATATGATACGGTCTTGTCGCTGGTCGAAAGAAAAAGGAACGAGCTGGCGCCGCGCTACCATTCCGCTGACCCCCCCTATCGCGCTTGCGGGTAATGCGTTTGGAACTGTGCTCGGACTTCGCAGGCCCGAGGCTCACTTTTTTAATTGACTGATTGGCCTGCTAAGGAAAACGTTTACTATCCATGAGGGTAGGTTTAACTCCTAATTAAGAATATGACATTCAGTCTTGTCGCTGGCGCTAGTGGATGACACTACGATTATCTGCGCTCTGGAAGGCTGAGCCCAGGAGGTAATCATAGTGTCCTCTCTTGGCGGCAGCGGACAAGAGTGAATGGTCATATTGCGTAGATCAGGATGTTAAACGTACCGCCTGATACAAGTTTTACGGGGCGAATTCGTGCTAGCTAATCTAAAAGAAAAAAAAAAAAACGTAAGCAATTTAAAAATGGCTCGGTGCCGAAATTTGTGGATTCCAAACGGCATTAGCCATCCGGTAAACTGTAGGACGCTTTGGTGCAATTACGCTTTGGTGGAAGCGGCGTTCGTTGAAAATAGGTGTCTGTCGTAGTCTCAATGGCACATAAGGTGCTCCATCAACAAAAACCGAGCAGTTTACACTCTGCTTCGCTGCGGATGATGAGGCGTGTTCGCGCGGCTGCGTTTGGCGCTGCGCTAACCGCCATTCCTATCAACATTTTCTTCTTCTTCCGAGCGACAAGGCATCATATCATACTCAGGTTTGGAACACTATTTTTTACGCCAGTTGTTGCCACCTTTAGCCCGTAAAAAACTCGGAAATAATGGATTTGGCAGAGTGTGGCGCCAAAAGCAGTGCGGATGATGGGGCGTGTGCGCGCGGCTGCGTTTGGCACCACGTCATCATCGAACCAGACTGTAACCTTGTTCAAATGGCTACTCTAATAATTTAAGAATAATTTTCCGCTGTGAGAACGGAAGCTCCAATTTTTTTCTGAGTCCGTTTCGGGTACAAGCCTCTGCAATATCGTCCAGAAACGTTTACGCGAAAGCGTTAGGTCTCACAACACAAGTTTATTCTTGGAAATTTTCGTAGCTTAGCAGTGTTGCAAAACGACGTGACATTCACATTGTACAGCACAAATGTTTTCCAGGTCGTCAATTCACCGCAACCTGTCATAGTTGATTTTCACGCTGACTGGTGTGGCCCCTGCAGAACGCTTGGTCCTCGACTTGAGGAAAAGGTCGGTTTTTGTACTGTTTGGCGCTTGTTTTCTTTCACTCTTCAGCAGTTTCTAATCAATATGGTCCTGTTGGATACTTATGCACGTAGTATCTTAAAAAGCGAAAGGCTGACGGTTGAAAGTTGTATCGATTGGTGGTTCAGTTCGCTGACTGAACTTTTATGCGAACATTCTTCATGTCCTTCTCTTGGAACCTTTCTTGAGACCTGGCAATAATGTTAAGATTAGATCTTCTTGCTGCGTGCCCAACATGTTTTTATGTACTATTGATTGTGGCCAGCTCAGTAAAATAGTACACCATAAAAACCTGTTAGGCATACCAGGAAACAGTCTTAATTTCGGCAATTGCGTAGTTGAAACAGGGGAGGGGAGAAGACACTTGGTCGCGCTTCTGTATCCCCTCGCCAGATTAGAGCGCGGACGACCAGAGTGGCGAGGAGATAGTTCCGTAGAGAAGACGTATTTCCACGCAGCCTAAGCCGTGAGTAGAGGTACAGGTGGGCGTGAGAGGTTCCCTCCCCCACTATGTGCGCCTCCATTTCAATTAGGCAGCGTTCAGACTTCGGCGATGGCAGCACTTGGATCACGCGATCGATGCAGTAAAAAGCGTGCGCATCGATCGCGCCGAACACGCGGCCGAAGCGCTGCCGTCGTCTGAACGCTGCCTCACTAGCACGGGCAGCACCACACACAACACACTCATACCTCGGAATCGGAAGGGGCGTGGCGTACATCGTTTGAGCATGCCTTAGGATGTGTTTCTCATGGGATCCTTTCATTTGAGACAACTACTATCCAGAATTAGGCTAGACAAATACATGCTTGGTATTGTCCCGAAAACGAAATGTCTCCCAAGAAGCGTAGCTTACCTCGGGCTGAAGTGTGGCCTAAACAATGACTTGCGGGGGCCAGCCGATGTACAAGTCAGTGTTTTATCCTCCCAGACGAATCTGGTACCAATTCACCGTCCCCGGAGGGTAGAAGGCTTGGTTGGCCTGGAGGAGTCGACCCGGGGT